AGGGTCTGACTGAGTGGAACGGTGACGGCCTCAGAGGGAGAGCAGGGCCAGCTGTGTGTGCAGGAAGCTGGGGAGCCCCGTGCGTGCTGCATCTGGATGAATGCGGTGTCCCTGCTGAGGCCAGACCTGCCCCTCAGGCCAATAATACTAAAAACTGACAGTGGCCTGCCTTCTGTCTCCATCAGCCTGAACAAGAGGCATATAGGACTCCCCAGGAACTGCTGACTTGGCTGGGCCATTTCTTCTCTCACACATCAAGGGCTGTGGTTACGAAACCCGCCACATGGGGGCGTTTATCCCCACCATCCTGTCCAGGCTCCTCCATGCTCTGCTGTGTGACCTTGGCCAGGACCCCCCCCTCAGATCCTGAGGCAGCAGATCCCCCTCACCTGTGTGGGGGGACTTCAATAAACAACAGGAAGTGTCAGTTTACTGAGCACTTACTACCTGTAGGTTCCTTGAGTGAACCAGTACGATCCTGAGGGGACGGTTCCGTAATGGGGCCTAATTTATAGATGAAGAAACTGTTGAGGAAACTGCCCAGGTCAGCAGCTGGTGAGGCAGGAACTGGATGGAGTGAGAACATCCATGGGCAAGTTGGGAGGTTGTGGAGAGACAGCCCAGGATCCTAGGATGGGGTCTCCTGCTTCCTGGACTGGGGACAGCTGATAGTGGGGCAGGATTAAGGTGGAGGAAATACCATGGTACCTTCTACTCCTCCTGAGGAACAGGAAACACCCTAGGGCAGCCGCCAGCACCACCCCAACCAGGACCCCAATCGTGATGCCAGCAATGGTCCTCGGAGAGCTGCCTGTGCTGGTGTTTTCTGCTGAAAGGAGAAAGGACAGAGGGGAGGGTGAAAGCCCAAGTTCATTTAGGGAAATTATGAGGAGACTTGCAGGGGAGAGGGCCTCGCTAGGGAGAAGGAACTGTCACCAACTGTGTGTGCGGTTTGTGGGTTTGTCATCACACCGTCCCCCCAAAACACCCCTGCCAGTGGTTGCTTCATCATTTTCTGTTTCTCATGTTTGAAACCTGGATTTGTTCTAATTCTGCAAATTCTCCTACACGTACCAGTCCCACCTTCTGTTCATTTTCCTCTTAACTCCTCTTTCATTTTCACATTGTGTCTTTCCCCTGTTTCTTCTCTTCCTTCATTATTGACAGCCTTAGAGGGCAGGCCCTTAATGTCAACTCAATGCTGATTAGTAATGAGAATGTTATTTCACTGTTTTCTGGGGTCTGACTATGTTCAGTGGTCTACTATGACCAGGCAGGGTGGGAAATACCTTATGCTCATGTCACCTGATCATTCCATCCCCATGAGGGACAGGGGTGTCATTCCCACTGTGCACAAACAGATTCTGGGACGTGAAGTGCCTAATAAATCACTGGAGGTTGCAGAACCGACAAGTGATCAACAAAATATTCTACAAGTTCTGCTTGACTTCCCAGCTAATAACAAAGGTGTTCCTAAAAATACTACTTGATAGCATTCACTGAGCCCTGACTCTGTGTGTGACCCGAAAGGCTTTAATCTCATTAGCCTCCTACTAAACACCCTCACAACAGAACTAAGATCTGACTGTTCTATTCCAGTTTATAGACGAGGAACCCGAGGCTCAGGTGATTGAATGTCTTGCCCGAGGTCAGATAGTTGGTGCACATCAGGACCAAGATGATAATGAGATTAGTCTCATTCTGGGGTTCTCACCCCTGCTGATCTACAGGCTCAGAAGGAGGTTACTAGCTCCTCAAGACTGGCATCCATCTCTCACCTCCTTTCCATAAAATATACATGTAAGTAAGTAGGACAGATCACTCACTGATCACATTCAGGTTGATTTGGGCACTTCTGGAACTGACAGGGTGGCAGACTATCACACTGATAATCTCCAGTGTCCCCGCTCCTGACAGGGTCTATCTATGGTGAGTGTGCTGCTGTCCAGAGACAGCTTCATTCTCTCCATGAGCCACAGACTCTGGTCACTGAAGAGCCATTGAATGAAGATCCAGTGTCATTTGAGGCAGGTCAGGACCACAGTGTCCTTCTATTCTGTGACTGTGGTTTTTCTAGCTAGGAAGGTGGGCTCTCTCACAGGCTCTGTGGACAGAGGAGGTGACTGGCTGAGAGTGGACGTAGGACCACGCTGCTTCCTCAGAGATCTCAGCCACTCGCAGTCCATCGTGACCTGAGCAAAGGTCACTGGAATATGGCCCTGACCTCTGCAGAAGGACAAGTGTCTTAGTTCAATAGACATATGTAAGGAGAGGGCTACACCTCCTTTCTGACCCCAGATCACCACAGGGTGACCTCTTACCTGTCCTCCTGGACATCTCTCTAGTATGAGCACCAGGAACCCCTTCTCAGCCCACGTGTCCAGCATCTCATCTTCATCATCAGGTGGAATATTTCTGTCATGAATTTTTACTGATCCTTTCCTAGAACTTGCTTTGACTTCAAAAAAGAACAGGTCCTGCTCCTCATGTAAACTTTTGTGTATGTTGGGAAAGGCAGACTTGCCATCTGTATTCATCTCTGGGGCAAGGGAGCTTTACAGAAAGTGGGAAGGCATTTATCTCTCGTTAAATACTTTATTAAGCAATAAAGATGGCAGAACCCAGTCTCCATGACATAGGACCTGGAGAGGATCCAGCTAGAGGATTTCTCAAACTGAGTAGGACTCTACTTTCTTGTCTGTGGATTGAATGTCACTGTGAAGGAAATAATTTTTTAGGGAATGAGGACAGCTTTCTCCAGTCCTTGTAACCGTAGGAATGGAAGAGTTTCCAACGTAAGGGGTTCACACTCTGTAGAGGACTTTTACTTCTGAATCTGTGGATTGAATATCACGAGGAAGGAAATCTTTAGACTAGTGGTTACCAATTTAATAAAATACTGGCACTCTTGGGAACAGAAGGAAACTACTGAAACAGAATAAAGGCCTTATATGAAAGCGAGCCTCATACTCAATGATGAGACACTGAGAGCTTTTCCTCCAGACCAGGAAGAAGACAAGAATGCCACTTTCACCACCTCTATTCACCACAGTACAGAAGTCCACGTGAGAGCGAATAGATAAGAGAAATGAAATAGAATGCATCCACATTGGAAAGGAAGGAGTACAATTATGTCTGTTCACAGATGGCACACACTTCTATGTAGAAAACCCTAAAGATTACACACACACACACACACACACACACACACACACAGAAACAACAATAAACAAATTCAGCAAAGTTGTGTTTCTATACACTAACAATGAACTATCAAATAAGGGAATNTGGGAACTGTGGCCTCTGTGCCTCAGTGTTGAAGCAGCTTTATTTGTACAAATGTGGGCACCCTGATCTGAGTGAACCTACGTGGGAGAAGCACCCATCTGGGGCCCTCAGGGAAGGACTGAGAACTGCTTGCCCAGGTGTGTGGAGGGGCCTGCAGGTGAGGCAGAGGTGGGAGAAGGTCCATGGGCCAGGTGGAGGAGATACTTTCTTCGGTGTCATGGAAGCTTGGGAGAGAGTTAGGTGGGGTGAGGGGGGGACCCCTCCACCTCTGAACTGGATGCTCATTTGTGGGAAGGAGGCCGGTTTCAATGAGCTCCAAGTTGGAAAAAAACAAACTGATGGAAAGTGGGGGCTAGAGGTCATGGACAGTGCCAGGGTAGGCCTTGCTCAGGGCATGAATTCTGGGGCCTGCCCACATTGGTTACTATGACAGTCTCTATGTGTGTACCCCAGAGGTAAAGATGTCCTGAGGGCTGGTCTTGGGAACAGAGTAGAAACCCCTGGATAGGGCTCAGAACCCTGGATCCTGGATTTGGGGACAAGCAAGTTCATTTGTAGAGGCACATGTCAGGGCCACGAGGACCTGGGTGACGACGGCCAAAGGGCTCAGGACATTGGGGGACTGGGAAGGGGCCTCACCCAGAGTATGTAATCTGTGGGCAGTGACCCCAAAGAAGATTCCTTGCACATCTTTGTGTAGACACGAGATCACCCCTATTGTGTGCTCCTGAGACCCAGTGCACATGTGCAAAGGGGCAAATCCTGGGAAGTGTCCATGGCCTGGTCCTCAGGGCAGTGTGAGGACAGCTGAGTAGTCTCTTGGCTGGGTCACAGCCCTTATCTCTGCCTTTCTTTTTTGCATGGTCCCACCATCTCCATACCCATAGCTCTTCTCTCCCCAGTAAACAGAGATGAGGTTTGGGGTAACTTAGAGTTAATGCTTTCCCTGTATGACTCTGGAGAGAAAGGATCCAGCATTTCCGGTGAATTTCTGCTAAAAGAAGTTCCCATTCACAGAAAAAGAGCAAAGGAGGGTAAGGTCCTCTTTATTCAGATCACTCAGGTTTCTATGGCGGGTCACAAGCTTGATCATTTTCCCTGGAGCCCCCACTTTCCGGGGGATGCGAGCATTTAACCTGGTTCATTTAGGGCTCAGGGTGGCCTGTTGGGGTCTTCAATAATCAGGAGAGTGCTCAGCCTTGGGCCCAAGTCCCTGAATATCCTCAGGGCTCAGGTCTCGTCCTGTGGCTCAGGCTGCAGCTCCTGACCTCACCCAGGGCCTGGGGCGTCAGGTGGGCGCCTCCTCAAGGTCCTGAAGGAGCAGGTCCCAGAGGAAAGAAACTAAGAAGCCACGTCTGCTTTAGGGTCAATCCGGCAGTAAATGTCTGTGTTGGGGTTTAGTAAGTCCTGTAAAAGAAGAGGCCTCTGAGCTCTGTCATCTTCTCAGAACTTGTGCAGCGTCTCCTAGGCAACGGAGGCCTGACTGTGCTGAGGGGTATCTGTCCCTGAGCCCCTCCCTCTCTCACCACCTCATTTCCCCTTTGTGCTGCTGTTTCCTGAACCTGGAAGCACAGCCAAGGTAAGGCTGGGGACAGTTTCTGGGCCCTCTTGGGCCCGTAAGACAGAACATTGTCCACACTCACCTCATAGATGGGAACCGCTGTCCTGGGGCCAGGTAGGGGTGTCTGTGCAGAGGGTGGGAGAGATCAGGTGTCAGGGGTGAAGGACAGAGATCATTTCTCCACAGGAGTGACAGCTCTGCCTCCCAAGCAGCCATCTCCACACCTGTAGCCCTGTACCCCAATCCTGGTCCATGCTGTGCCCTTGTCACCCTTGTTAATTCAGAACCCCTGACTGATGCTCCCAACACCCACTATGCTCCTGGCTGGACTCCAGGGTTCACCTAGGGCCCAACAAGGGGACCACAACAGACTCACGACACGGTGGGTGGTCCTGCTCCTGAAACAGGGTCCCCTCCTGGCCAGGACTGGGCTCCCCTTGTCCCGGCTGTTCAAGGGGAGGGGGCCTGTGCTGTGCTGTGGGATTGAATAGTCCTCTGCCCTGAATCTGTGAAGCCAGGAACCGGGGTGAAGGGACAGGAAAGAGAAGGGCTTACCCGGGAGGCGGAGGTGCCGCAGGGACCATGGCCTGGGAGCAGAGACAGGTGTTAGCACCTAGGAAACTTGGGCCCATCCTCCCAGGGGGCACTAGATCCTCAGCTCCCAGACAAACAGGGGAGAAGGAGCATGTATCGGAGAGAGATCCTCTGGCATTTTAGGGTCCAGTGAGGGAGAATGATGATCATGACATAGCCCCACAGGTCAGGGCTGACTGGCCAGTT